TAAGTGTGTGGCGATTCCTCCTTCACGCTTGGGTGAAGAACCAGACAGAGGCATCGTAGGAACGGTTGTAGGACTTACTTTATAACATTTATAACATGCCCCAGAATTCGTAATAATGTCTGCGTGAGCACAGCATGAGCTGCATGGTGAGAATTTTAGCTTCTGGCCTTTCTGCCTTGGCCAGGATGATACGGACAGGGTGGGAGAGTAATTTCGAAGGTTTAATACCGAGTGCGACGAAACCAATGCGTGCTCCGTTGTCAGCCATGGTGAAAAGGAATTATTGTTTTCAAAGTGGATATGATACAAGGCTTGAGCACTTCAATGGCCATTTGCCTCAACATCTTCAATGCATCACATTGGAATTAGCCACTACGTGATATCCAAAGGGATGTACAAAGTGATGTGCACGAGAGAAGCATGAAAGATATTTTGATTTGACCGACTTGTTCAGTGTGTGAGCATTTTACTTCTGCGATGTAGCTTGTTATTTCATCAACTTGACGCTGTTGTGGATTTCTGGAGGCCCTGATTAAATTAATCAAGAGACGAATTTGCCATGCTACTGGACTCTGATCGAGTCTGGTCAAGTCTTGGCCCTAGACTAATTTTAGAATCCATTGAAATTGAGAGATGATTTTCTTTAAATGCCAACCGAGCTGACAGCTACAGGCTGAGTGCTGCTTGGAAACACACCATTAAGTGATCACACCACAATCTCAACAGAAGAGTGTATTCACATTTATTGAAACTAGCACTTGCATTACTAACCATTTAGTATAACTAATTAACGATGCCTCACCTTTATCAACACGTAAGTACAGTTGATAATCGATTATCCGGTGTGCGATTATCCGGCTGCTCACAACATTATCCGGCGGTTCCGGGGCTCATCCGGCAAAACTGCTCCAGAGACTGGAACCCAGTCCGGCGATCAGCACCATGCATGACAAAAAAAGAGTAACTATGCTTGATTTCATTGTTCATTATTATATAGAGTACATTATACATGACATACAATCTAAACAATGAAAACACTGCATGTATACACATCACCCCATGCAGAGTCTTCGAGATTGGAGTGGTAAGTATGGTAAAGTAAATACATTAACTTTTAAAGTAGGATATCTATTTTTGTCTATTTATATGCTTATGCCAATTTCATATATTCAACACATTTAAAACACAAAAAACACAACACCTAAAAACATAACGTCATAAAATAATGCGCAAAAATAATCTATTTCAAATAGTGATTTAGTGATTATTTGCCGTTTTTGAAAATGTGGCGCCCACCTCTCCCCAAAATCCTCCAGATAATTATCGATTATAATCGATTATCTACTGTATATATTAACATATCTCAGCTAATATTATATAACATACAATTCCATATATTAAAATACATTATACTTGATCTATCGCTTCCTGTGACTTCCTGCTCCCTTGTGGGCGCACATTGATGTCATAACACCACCTATATAAGTCTTCTTCTTCTTGGTTTTTTCGGTAAAGTCACGTAGAAGGGAAATAATAAAATAATAAAAATAAAACATAATAAAATAATTCTCACGACGTTTCGGCCACAACGCAAGTAGCCGTCCTCAGGTGAAGAACAGGTCTGTTGGAAAGACAGCGTCTGAATGAAACGCCACCAGGTTTGGCGCGTATATTTAAGCTGGGTTGGAGGGGGAAGAGCGCCTTGACAAAAGAATTTGCATATCAAGAGGAATTTAGAATATTTATGGGAAATGCAGATATGGGATTAGTCATTACTTGTGGAATGCGGAGGAGGTGGGCGGGGGGTTTCAAAGTCATAATATGCCCGTGCATTATGCATAATGCACGCGCATATTATGACTTTGAAACCCTCTTGATATGCAAATTATTTTGTCATGGCGCTCTTCCCCCTCCAACCCAGCTTAAATATACGCTCCAAACCTGGTGGTGTTTCATTCAGACACTGTCTTTCCGACAGACCTGTTCTTCACCTGAGGACGGCTGCTTGCGTTGTGGCCGAAACGTCGTGAGAATTATTTTATTATGTTTTATTTTTATTATTTTATTATTTCCCTTCTACGTGACTTTGCCGAAAGAACCAAGAATATGAATCCCTGCAGTCACGAAAGCTTTAAATCGACACCTATATAAGGGCAACACTGGAGGGTATTTTCAGATATCCGGCAACTGCCTGATGATGCTGGCTGTGTTTATAGGCGGAACCTCGTGCTCATTCGTACTCATTCGTTAAATGAAATAAACGAGCACGTTTGTTCCAGCGATAATTTTATTAATTGGCTGTCAGGCGAAAGAGAGTTTACGACACACTTTTTACTTTCGAGATCTGACCCAATCATAAATTATGAATCGATACATTCGGTTGTGAGAGCCATCATGTCCGATGATGATTATTTTGTTCCCTTTGTGCTTCTGTTCCTATTTCCATATATGACCACTTGCATTCAATACAAAACCCAACGACGTAGGAGAATATGTTTTAGGAACGGTTGCCTGTGATGCCACTCGGTCTATAACCTTCACAATTTGGCTTACAGTTGAGAGTAAAAAAAAACTAAGAGTTTTAATTATTTTTTTCACATGGCAAATGCACAAAATGTTCACCTGACAGATGTGGGCCTAATTTTGCTCATTTTTGGTTGGAGTGTTGTACTTGACCTAGGCTTAAATGTCCCCTCAGGGTGCACATTAACGCGTAAGTGCTGTCTGTTAAGGAGAGACAGGGCTTTCACGTGTTAAGGTTATAGAAGTCAGCGCAAGCCCGTGGGCTTTATGCACAACCTAATGCTCCCCGATGAGAAGAATAAGCGTGTGTTTGAAACGGCTGGCTTTTGGTGGTGATGTTACACGTAGAGTTTTTAGTGCGACAAGATAATAGGAGGAAGGGATAAATAAAAAGGTGGGAAACTAGGAAAAGAGACGAAAAATCTTGATGGCACTAATGTAACAAGAGTCACAGCCACAACAACGTTGATGAGACGGTACACGTGCTACTCGATCAACTGTCCCTTTCCGTAACCTGAGTCTGAATTTATTAGTCATCGGCGTACCATCTCTCGGATCATTAAAATAACATTAGTTCCATTTGTAGAAAGTCAGCGGTGGTGATACTTACATATACTGTCTCCTGCCTTGGTAATGTGGGATTTCTACCACCATCATGGGGGCTGCTGGCAATACAAACAAGCAACAACTTTTTGAACGATTTTTGTTGTTGCCAAGTTAAACCAAAAGAGATCACGTAACCAGACAGATAAGCCATTGCATTGTAATTTAAGCCACGTAGCTTGTACCATTACAGGCTTTTTGGAAGTTTTTTTCTATATAACATTCTTGCTTGTGGCTACTTGCCCAGAGGACAAGTTTGTTTCTCGAACAATTGATTTTTCCAAGAATTTATTGTATAATTGTTTTAATGAGGTGAATGCAAACACAATTATATTCACCGCTGGGGCGAAGTGTCCTCTGCTATTCTACACTTCAATGTGAAGTGCCGTGCTGGGAAAGATTATAGGTCAAGGTTATGTTAACCTTGTCACTGCCTCAAGGTATTTTTTCCCGGCTAAAGGAAGACCTTTGCAATGAGCTATTGCTCATCAACCCCGGCCCTGTGGTTTAGGAGGCACTCGAGTTAGACATTCAAATCAATAATTCATCTGTATTTGATATAGTGTCTTGTGTTCGATCAGGCAAATCTCAAGGCGCTCGAACCATGTGCAGTGACGGTACAAGGAATGGCGCCTACCGTAATTGCACAAGCCAGCCACTTGCAGATGATACCTTATCGTATATTTTCACGTAGAACTGTGACTCTGACACAGTCGTCTTGTTTGGCAAGTGACTTCAGTCAGTAAGGGGGTTTTTAATGGTCGTTTTTTTTCTCAGTAGATGAAATACTTTGGTAATTCCCCGCAGAAAAAAAAATTACTGTACCCGGAGGATGCGGGAATTGAATGGTTGACTACACGTTTTTTTGGACAGTGTGGAGCTCACTGATGAATTGAGAATCCTCTAAGGCGGCGAGTTGCCGCAGTGGATACTTTCACATTCCCGCCATAGGAATGTGGAATTTACATCTTTGGCTCGGGGCTGCCAACAGCACTGACGCTTGCTTGTTGGAACCTGGATACTCGTTCGCTGCAGGGCCTAGGCCATCCGAAGGTAAATGCCGAATACACGTTCTAGAGTGCAAGTAGGTTGTGGCCAAACGCGATCGCTCCGTGCAGCGGAGTAAAGTACGTATAAGGAGACATTCACATCGCTTGCAGCTCTCCCTGTTTACAATGACCTTGGAACGATTTCCCCTACAATGTCGTTTCTCTCAAACGTGTACCTATGGAATATGCCCCATTACGCGTATGTTCGAGTGCTTGCAGCAACCCTACACAGCCCGTGGCGTTTTTCGCTGCAATTTGACTTCAAAGCAGCAATTTTACTTCAGAGCAGCACTTACCGTGGTCCCTTTTTGTTTCCATCAATAGTAACACAGCTTGGTAGAGACAGAAGCACCTACTGGGGCAGAATCATACCTCTGCATCACATTACCTTCATTGCTTAAGGAGTACTTCACACGTTCACTTGATGTTTACTTGTAATGCTCCATTTGTAAGGTCTGTTTATTTTTTACTTTCGCTGAAACTCCTGGTGCACGCGATTTAAAACTCGAGGGTGTGCGTTCTCCAGAGTTATACGCACAATCGTAAAAACTTTAATCCCTTTAATGTATATTTTTCCAAAGCCCAGTTTCTTGCAAGAGTGAGACAAACAGTGTGTGATGGTTGGGAGAAAAAAGAAAATTCAAACTTTGTTGCTGCACACAACCGAGATGGCCCCTCTCTCGCTCTCTTCCGCGATAATATGGGGTCCCTGCCTGCATTGTGCTTGCCAGCAGCGGGGCACCAATCAAAGGTAGTTTTGTGTTTAATTGAAACTTTTTTCTCGTCAATGATTGTTTTCTCCCCACGTAATTTAACCTTTTGCAGCACTCGATGGGACTTCAGTCGTGCACAAGACCATCGAGATTACCCTGCACAAAGACGGAAACAGTTTTGGATTCGTGGTCCGAGGCAAGTGTTGTGTACGGAATTATTTTTCGTGTTGTTGTGGAATTGCAAACTCCATCCTCCACATTCTGATTGTGATGCAACGACTCTATGGTTACCAGGCCACACACACGCGCATTCTCTCTGATCGCCCCTCATAGACAGCATTGACAAGAGTAGGAGGTTGCATACCGTACTTGCATGAGTTAAAATCCTGACCAGGATTTACTCAGCCTGACAGCATCATCATCGTTGTTATCCTGCCCACAGCATCCTTCTTCGGTCGGTGACATCAGCACCACAGGCTGCGGTTGCACCATGTTTGTGGAAAGTGGTTTCCATAATCGAAAGACTGATTTCTGCCGTAGTTAATATGGAATTTCCACTGTCGGTTCTGAACCACCAACAGGGATGAGCTACTGCCCACTAATTCTCTCCTTATAAACAGCTTTATAGATTAGTGACGTTAGTTTGTCATGTTTTACCACTGCTCGTTTTTATTGTTATGAACAAAGATGTCATTCAAAGAGTCGGGCGATAAATTGCTCTAGGTGCAAGCTTCGGCATTTATATTGAGCGGCTGTTCTAGATCACCACAATGGCGAGATGTTAACAATCTCACCTGGTATACAGGAGGTCGTGGGTTCGATCCTGACCCTACCGCCTGTATATTTGGAGTTTGCATGTTTCTCTCCCCATTGTTGCGTGGAATTGTCCCCGGGTCCTCCGGTTTTTCCCTCCACATTTAGAAACGTGCGTTTCGAGTATTTGGCTGTTATAACACGTGATGAGCCACTTTGTTGAATTATCATGTGTGGCCAGGTCGCTTCTGAAAAAGAGCTACATAGCTCAGTGGTCCTTACCTGATAAAATAAAAACATATCTTATAGTTGAGTAAACAAATCTGTTTTGGCCCGCAGTTGTGAATATCGCTGAACGCCGCTGCAATCCATGCGAGTGGTGCCGTGGCAGATCGCTGTCGACTCACTTTTGCAGGACTTGAGAGAGTTACAATTCTGGCCAGGAATTAACTGAGCCCATCACTTCTCCGAGGTCAACAAAATTCACGTAAATATTTTTGTACTCGACAGTTTTGCTATCCAATGAAGATAGTAGCTCCCGGCACAAGAATGTGGAATTGTTTTAGCGGGCTCAGTGGTCTTCAAGGAAGAGATATGCACAACTCCCGCACTCGTATAAGCAGCAAAACGTTCTACTTTTAGGTCTAATAGAAGCTGACGATGAAAGAAGAAAAAAAAACTCCGGTGCGCCCGTTCCAAGTGAAGCACTCTGACAAGCCGACACTTTTGTTTCTCTAAGGCGGCGTTCAGTCCGACAAGAAGAAGTCGCGGCCTATCGTGGTGAGCCACGTCAGGCAAGGGGGCCCAGCTGACAGGTACGCCTCCGGCCGTCACCCCCAATCTGTCTCGCCTGAACATTTTCCAACAGCGCCCGATGATCGAGTAATGCTTAAGTGCCAGCTGCGAGCGTCGCGAGATGTCAGCACAGACAGCTGTATCGGGGGCCAGATGAAAATGTTTGATATGGCCCGCGCTTTCTCTCTGCGTATAAATTATGTATTAGCCTTTATCCAGAGAGCCATGTTCTCCAGGCCAGAGTGGGAACAGGCGGCTATGTTGGCTCGTGTGTCAAGGTATGAACCCAGGCAAGCTCTGAGACCCTTGAACCCGAGTCAGACGGCATGACATTTGGTGAGCAGCGATGTACGGCTCTTATTTGGCTCGTGGAAGTTGGTGGATCGAACCGTGATCACAATGTGAGACAGTCGCTGTGGGGTTAGGTGCCTCTAGGATGCAGTATGACAATTAGGCTGCTAACCTTTTCGTGAATTTTCTCCAACAACTTTTCTTTTCTTTGACCAGCTTCCTCCCACGTTCATAAATATGCCGGGTGGTGGTGGCTCTGGGTGCCGCGGTGGCGAGATGTTAACTACCTTGCTTGGTTTTCAAGATGTCCTGAGGTCGATCCTGACCCTAACGCCTGTATATTTGGAGTTTGCATGTTTCTCTCCCCGTTGTCGCATGGAATTTTCCCTCCAGATTTAGAATAAACGTGCGTTTAGAGTATTTGGCTGCTATAAATTTACACATGATGATAATCCACTTAGTTGAGCTATCATTTGCAATAGCCAGGTCGCTTCTGGCAAAATAAAAATAGTTCAGTTTTAGTTTTTTATCTGGAGGCTGGTTGGACTTTGGATCGCAGCATAGGAGAGGCAAATCAGAACGATACTATAAATGTTGTGCTATAGCTCTCCCGTGTGTTCTTGGGTTGTACCGAGTGTTTGGCATGATTTTCCGACGTTTCACTAAAATATTCTCGGAGGAGCTTCTTCAGGAACTGAATTCACCTATTCAGGCGTTAATTTCATCTCTCCGTTGCCAGCACGTGGAGCAGAAACGTTGGAAATCGTGCCGACTAAAACGCGGTGACACGTGGAAGGACATTAGAATTGGTTAATCGAATTTTGTGCAGTTTAATAAAAAAAATGCTTTGGCAATTGCACTTGTACAAGATGCACAAAGCTCTCTGCATCACAAAAATAAATAAACCATTGACCAAGGGGATAAAAAAAACTGAGAAGTTTTGGAGCTAATCAAGAGAACCCGAAAGCAAGAGAAAATAAAAGTGCGGGGCGTTGAGGCGGGGATCAAATGGTGTCGCCGAATGGCGACCACCGCTGGGGCAGGGCGCTCGCTGCACGGCCGGGGAGCAGCGCAGCAGAGCGCACGGCGCAGTGCGGCGTGGAGCAGGAGGACCCGCGTCCGGGGAACGCACAGGGGGCGCAACCCACCGGTCGAACGATGGGTGGGGAACTTGTGTAGGATAGAGAGCGGGGCAGCTTAGCAAGACTGTCAGTGGAGTGGCACCACGGAGGTTTGCAACTAAGGGGAAGATCTGAAGCCAGGTGGCGGGAAACTACGAGCTGGGTGTGAGCAACTGCCAAGAGGTGTTTCAGTAAAGAGAAAGCGGTGGTGCGTTGGTCGCAGCATCATTGGCATTGCTCCTGATGCCATCTTGACCGTGGCAGCTGTCACAAACTCTCAGTCCGCCTTGTGCCCTTGTCCCCCCCCCCCCCCCCCACCCAGGGATGGAACCCTCAAGGCAGGCGACCGCCTGCTCGCCGTGGAGGGGATCCCCGTGCAGGGCCTCTCACTCTGCGAGGCATCTGTCGTCCTCAAGCAGAGCGGCCAGGATGCCCGCGTGCTCGTTGAGTACGACGTCTCCGTCATGGGTGAGCGGAGGGACAGCCCGTTGCGCGCGCGAGCGTACAAAGCAACGCGCTGACGCCTTTGGTGTGAAGGAAGAGCAGTGGCGTTCTTGGTGAGGGGGCCATTATTCCGCCCTGTACATTTTTTATAGGAAATCTTTCGGGCAGCTCTCTCCTCTCTCTCTCTCTGGTCTCGTTTTTTTTAATGAAATGGGTGTTTTGAGCACATGCTTACGTGCATACACACATGTAGGTGTGTGTATGCACGTGTCTACCTCTGTGTGTATGTGTGGTGGCAGTGTCAGAGCGGTGACCCGAGTTTGATTCCCGCTCACGACCAACATCAGTGACGATTATCTGAGCTGGTCTTGGGCCTCCCTTAGGTCGACTCAGCCTGAAATGAGTACCCGGTGTGAAGAAAACGCTACGAGGGAGACAAAGGCGGTCAGGCGTGGTGCTGGCAACCCACTCCCCCGTGTGCTGTGCCGGCCTTCCTAGGTGCTCAATAACATCACTTGCTTCAACAGTCTATGTGACTAAACAGGGATATTTGATGTTTTGTGTGTGTATGGACAGTGGTAATGCAGTGCTTTGATTACTGGACTACGTATGTATGTTTAACTTTTTTCGCACCGTACGTAGACTAGATTATATCCAGTAGCGGATTTAGACGTATTCGTGTGGTATCTGAGCCTGTTCTGCGTGTGTCCTCGCTCAACTCAGCGCTAAATGTATTGCCTGATGCAATAGTTGAACGTGAGCACTGAGGAGACGCAGGCAGCTGAGCGTGGTTGTAGGCCACACCACGACCTCGTGTACTGTGCCAGCCTCAACTGATGTTCACCAACAGCACTGTCCCCTACGGTCTATGTCACTTTGCATTTGAGAAGCAGTAACACAGTGTCTTGAAACATTGCACTCCGATCGCGGCAGCCGGGATTAAATGCCTAACCACACGCAATACCATTTGCAATTGGTTTTTGCAACTGCCATGGCTCTTGGATCGATTCAGACTCAAATGCGCATCATTATTCGTACTTGAAAGCAACAACAGAATGTGGTGCTGGTCGAACCATCTCTCTAGTTCTCGTTTGTGAATGTGGATGCCTTGCCCAATATATATAATCAAGAAACAAAACAGCTCACTTCCAGCAAACGTATGGGTCACACGTTTTACCCGAGACATGGACCTCGTTAACAATAATTACACGAACCGTTACGTCGCTGCCAAGTTTGTCCTCGTTCGAGTTTGCGCAAGGAGGATAAACGAGCGGATCGATAAATGACCCGAGCGATGATTCCTATTCTGCTCTCTGTGCTCTCCGCTCACCGTGGAGCACGCTTAACAATGATAACCAAACAGCAGTCAAACAATCGGGCACACACAGCGAAAACGGAAAAGATTCTTCTCCTCGTCTGTCGATTTCTCCACTTCTGCTCGGTTCGTCGCTGCGTCACCTGAGGCGCGCTCATTGCACACAAAGTTCTTGCCACGAATGAACCACAATACCTTGCTGGTCTTGCAAACTCCGGTCATCCTCGCAACAGTGGCTTTCAGCTCGCAATCGAACAAAGACGGTCACCGCATCGTGCGCTTTCAGATGCGCTTCCGTGGCCGTCTGGAACGCTCTTCCTGCCGATATTAGGAAGCCACTGGAGCTCTGCACTTAAATAATCTGGAGTGAAAGCTAATTTATTTATAAATGTTTTGTGTTTAGTTTGTTGTCCTTCCCCCTCACCTCCGATTATCATGGTTGACTACGAACGGTGATAAAGAAGTTGGACACGCACACATACAGTACATACTGAGACGGCTTCTGTCCCGTCCAGCGGTTTCATGTTTGACATCCAGTCAGATCGTGGTCATCCTCTTCCCCTAGCACCTTGCAGTGTTTCCTCCATCGTCATAGTCGTCGTCATCACCATCATCATCCTTTCCAGCCGGCCACCACACTTTACCTGTAAACGCCGAAAACAGAAGACTTGTGGGGGGGGGGGGGAAACTTTTATGCAAGACTTAGGAAACACAATTGACAGTTTTTAAAAACAACTCACATAAGCAAAAAAAATGGGCGCAATGTATTTGTTGGCAACAGCAGTCGAAGTTACAGCGATTGTGCTGCCGAGTGCCCACTGCCATCGTGCGTTGGCACGGCATTGGTCTTGAGAGCAGCCAAATCACTGCGAGGCCCAAACCTACTGCCACGCTACCCAGTGAATGGACATGATGAAAAATAGTTGGTTTTCCCTGACTGCCAATAAAACAGGTGTTAAGATGTTCAAACGCAAAATTGATACCTTTTGCAAGGCATTAAAGGTCCCATAGATTGTATCATGACAGACACCGTTCAAATTATTATTATTTTCATGTTGGCAATTTTGATTTCAATTCTAATGGCCTTTTGAGAAATGTCAGAACAAAAGAGACACAGCATTTACTTCAAGAGGGGTGATGCTTTGCCATACAATTGCATTCATGTCGCGTGTACTCAAACGATGCTGAAAAACAAAGAAAAAGATCCCATATATAGCCTTAGCAGGCTGTTGAGGCAAGTGCTGTTAGTGAGCATCGATGAAGGCCGGCACGGCACACGAGGGGGTGGGTGGCCAGCACCACGCTCATATACATATACACTCAATCAAACATGCACACACGCGTACAACCACACCGTTGGTTAATAATATGGAGACTCCTTTGATCAAGAGCCTTGCCAAGGTTGTCTCAGTGAATTCACTGCTGGGTTTTATAATTTAATATAAATGAAGATTTGCAGTTAGGGTGAAAATCTATCTCGAGAGTTTTTAAATTTACTAGCTGTAAACCTGCAAATGCGAGAAGTGTTGTGAACTTAGAGTTATACGGTAGTGTAGCAATAGTTTTTGGGTGCGTGTAGTGGTTAGCGCATTGTGCCTCGAATCAGGCAAAGCAGAGTTCAATTCTCGCTCGCAGCTAATAACAGTGGCGAGTATTTGAACCGGTCCTGTGCCTCCTCTAGGTCGACTCAGCCTTAAATTTGTACCGGGTGCGGTATGTAATCATCAGCACTGGGGAGACAAAGGTGGTCAAGCACGGTGCTGGTGCGGAAGAAGTTCAGCATACGGTGCATCTCGTCACATTCGCCTCCTGGAGATTGGTGTGGAGAGTAGCCGCCGGACTTCAGGGACCTTAATTTGTGAGGGGCAATGCAGGCGGGGGGGGGGGGGCAGTGTGAGAGCAGCTCACCGAGCTGAGCACGTGGTCGAACATTCAGACCAATATCGGTCAGTTACAGACTTTTGTATTTCACTCTCAATTCCACCAGGAGCCGGTCCAAAGACGCCAAAAATACAGTTGGTGTGATACGCTCAAATCTCTTTGATCTCTTCAAAACCCCGGGCAACCGAGTTCTGCGCATATTGCAGTTTTCTTGGGTGGTGGTGGTTGGTTATTGCAAGTGGCCTGAACTCTTGTAGACAAGGGTTGGTGGATCGCACACATGTCATGAAATTCCCTACCCCTGGGTGTCAAGGTATGCACGTATATATGTTGAACTTCTTTTACGCTGTACGTAGCCAACCACGCTGATCGGAGGTTCGGGGGAAGGACTGTAAACGAAACACAAAAAGTAGTACTAGAGACATGCGTTTTCCAGTGGCTTCCTAATATCGGAAAGAAGAGCCTTCCCGATGGCCGCAGAAGCACATCTGAAAGCGCGTGATGCAGTGACCTTCTTTGTTCGATGGTTAATCAAAAGCCGCTGCGAGGATGACCGTAGATTGTGTGATGGTTTATGCTCACTGGCAAGAGGTGCCATACCCTGGCTCGCCAGCTGAAAGCAGTGCAGCAAGTGGACTAAGTGCCTTCCGTTTCCATCTCTATGGGGATGGAGTGTTGCACCATCGATCACGTGCGTTTCCTCTCCAGGTGTTGCGGTTTCCTCCCACGTATATAATAAATGCTCATTAATTGGTTGAAAATATCTTAAAATGCAAACTCCGCGTAGCAGTACCCGTCTGAATAAAAAAGTAAATTATAATTTTTAAGGACATTCTTTTGATACATACGCCAGCAAGCAAAGCATTACCGTGTCACAGTAGGCGGGAGGCGATGTTGCTACGTGGCTTTACCCAAATAGTTTATTTGCAGTTACTTTTCCAATTTGGCAAAACTTGGACCGTGACAGCGGCACAAGTGGCCTACTAGTTTTAAAATACCGTCACGGGATCTTTGACGTCCACTGTGAAGCAGATAGTGTGCAATTTGTTTGGTTTATACACCCACAGTATTGTCCAGGGCAGCAGCTGGGATCGAACCATGAGCAAGTGGCAAACTGCACTCCCGCTTGGTTGTCAGTTTAATACGTAGTTGTAGTAGGCTTTCATGACCAATATTATCCATAATAAAGGTTTTTTTGGGGGATTACATTGCCTGAAGACGGCTGCTTGCGTTGTAGCCGAAACGTCGTGAGAATTATTTTATTATGTTTTATTTTTATTATTTTATTACTTCCCTTCTACGTGACTTTACCGAAAGAACCAAGAAGATATAAATGTGTCGTTAAACCCGCCACCAACTCAAGGCAGCCAATTTAGTAAGGTTTGTCACTTACACAAAACGTGCTGATTAGTTACTGGTTCAGCCCACCGGTTGTGTGTTGGAGAGTAAATCCACAACATTTCTAATTCGAGTACGATATTTTGCTGGTGATTACAACCAGCAGCTTCATCAGGCGATTAGCCAGAATTTTGACGAAGTCCTCCTTTTTCGGTCTTAAATAGTGACATCACGGCTGTCACTGAATAGGCACAGTAGGTCTTGGCATACTCTGTGTACGTGTGTTTACGGTCGACAGCTGTGACTCCGATAGGTATGTTGGCCACTACAGACTCGCCTTCACTCTTTCCCCTACACTCCGTTTATGTTCGACATACATTTGGCCGCAACCAATGCATGGTGATGACCCATCCCCAGGTCTTCAGCTCCACTTATGAGACGAATTGTTTGGCGATGCTGCTGCGTTGGCAGTGGTGCACAAGCACAATTA